GTAATATTGTGGTGAAATTGTTAATAACCAATCAGGTTTAATATCAGTAACGGTACGAATATAGTTTTTAGTTGTCAATACAAATTCATTGTATAATACCCTAAAGTGAAACAAAACAAAGATTAGTGCTCACTGGTAGAATTATTCAAGTGTGTAGCTAACATACCATTCGGGTTTATGGTCTAAAACTGTCGCCGGATGTAATTGTACTATTTGATTGTCTTTAATTGTTAAATAATGTCCAGTCTTTTCTAAATGTGCAACTTGCATAAAGAATCCGCTAACTAACGCTTTTCGTATATTTAAATAATAATCTTGAGATGTAAATTCGGTTGATGATCGTTTCAAATTAAACCTATCCATAATTCGTCCCAATTGGGTTCTAACATTATCAGCTGATTTTAACGATCGATAATTAACAAAATTTTCATAACACCAGTGAGGATCTTCATGATTTTGTTTAAAAGCATGATAAACATTTAACATGGTTAAATGATCACCATCAATATGTGCAAAACGTGATTTACATTCATCGGCTTGTTTACGCACATCATTTGGACGTACGAAACATTGTGGAACAGATAACATTGACGTGAGTGAGAGAATTTCATTTGAACAAGAATAATCACATGAAGCAATGACCATTTTAGCCAGTTGCGGATCCAAAGGAAACTCAGCCATCATCGAACCTAAATTTAAACAAATAAATATATATTAATATTTGATAACAGCTCACACAATTCTTACCTAATTCCGTTAAATCTCCTTCATCATCTAATGCTGCCAAATAATTTAGTAATTCCAATGCTCTCATCAGTGTTTCGGGTGCTGGTGGATCCATGAAATCGAAATGAACAAGATCATCGATACCCAACTTTTTCAATTGTAATACAACACTACCCAAATTAGAACGTAATATTTCTGGATATGTATTTTCATGCATTTCACTTTTGTACGCTTTTTCTAAACAAAAATAAATAAGAATATTTCATATCATCATCATCATGCGTTTAAACTCACCTGTATATAATCGAAAACACTTTCCAGGTCTTGTACGTCCAGCTCGTCCTGCTCGCTGTTGTGCACTTGCTTTTGAAATAGGTGTTACTAACAATGATTCGACTCGAATTCTTGGATTATACACTTTTTGTTTTGAAAATCCAGGATCAATCACAAACACAACACCATCGATTGTTAATGACGTTTCGGCTATATTTGTTGATACAACAATTTTTCGTCCGATACTTCCGTTGGGTTTATTTGCTGGTGCTGGTTCGAAGATACGCTGTTGCAAATTTGGTGGCAATGTTGAATATAACGGAATACATTTTAATTCGCCTACTTCTGGTCCCAAATTTTCAACATCGCGTTGAATTCGTTTACATGCATCTTCAATTTCTTCTTGTCCAGTTAAAAACAACAAGATATCACCTGAAAACAAAAAAATAATGTAAAGATATAGATAATAGACAGGAATATCTTACCTTCTTGTTCTTCACTCATATGAATTTGTAGTACAGTTCTAATAGCTGCTTCCAAATAGTCTCGTTCTGGTTCTGGTGTATAAAATATCTCCACAGGAAACGTTCTTCCCGGTATGGTTAACAATGGTGCCCTATCAAAATAATCTTGAAATTTCCCAGCATCCAAAGTTGCTGACATAACAATTATTTTTAAATCAGATCGTTGTTTAGCTACTTCTTTTAATAGACCCATCAGAATATCTGTGGCCAATGTTCGCTCATGTGCTTCATCGAGCAACACACAAGCATACGATTCTAATAGAGGATCAGACATGGCTTCACGTAGCAACATTCCATCAGTCATATATTTTAATAATGTTTTTTGCGATGAACAATCTTCAAATCGAATTGAATAACCAACTTCTTGACCGAGTATAACGTCCATTTCATTGGCAACACGTTGTGCAACAGACATGGCAGCCACTCGGCGAGGTTGTGTACATGCAACACCCTTTTTTTTCTGTTGTCCGCCAGATGGATATAAATTACGAGCATAATCAACACACCACTGAGGAATTTGAGTCGTTTTACCACTACCCGTTTCACCAACAAGAACAGTCACCTGAAAAGATATAAAAATATTTCAATATTGGATAAACGTCTCCGAGGCAAAATAGAGAGAAACCGCACGTTAATATTCAGTCTTTTTTCTAACAAACAAAAGACGATATTTTTCCTTTTAGACACATACTATATGAGCCACTTACCTGATGTTTTTCTAATGTTGTCATAAATGCTTCTTTATATTCCCACACAGGTAACTGTCGTCGCTTTTTAAATAATTCATAATAATAATTACTATATGGTGCACCAGTGAATGGATTTACATTTGCCGTACCAATCGATGGTAGTTTCATTGTACTAGTTGTTAATGTTGCAGAAGAACCAGAAGCATGATTACCCATTGAAGATGGGGATTCATGTCTTTTTTTTGCGGGTTCACTACTCATTGTATCATTCAAATTATCAGAATCAATATCAAATCGTCGTTTACGAACTTTTTCTTGGCCAACGTCTAAACGTTGTTTCCGCGAGCCCATTGACAAATACTTGTTTTCTCTACACGATCAGAAAATTCGTTTTGACTTATAATAAAGATGAATTATGACAAATAAGTACACGTAAACTGATAAATGTTTGATCGACTAATGGAAGTGTCACAATTTTAATACGTTCTAACAACAGAGAAAGAATGGAATTATCTAAAATGAACAAAAAAATCTAATGATAAATTGGAAGACAACGCGAGATCCATGCATGACTCGTGTAATAGACTTGACTGTAAAAAAATTATGCGCTCTCCATTGACAGCATTTGTCTAACTGCACGCTTGGAAAAAAACGGCTGATTCTTTATCGACGGACTTAACGATATAAAGTTATTTTTATGTACATCACTTCTGTTTAGTGAAAGTACTTTTTTTTATAGGGTGAAGTCATAATTCATCTTATCGAGTACATGATATAACGGCCAAGGGATGCCGTTGCTACGGCCTCAGACGTTTTTTCTCAGCAGTTTTTCCTTGCCAAAGAATTGTAATTTTGTATTCCATTGCAAAAGAATTGTAGTCAATAATTATCCATTCACAATAAAATTTGAGCTTGTAATCGTCTAAATGCACTTAGGCTATATCAGTGATTTGAATAAGTGCACACACGCGGCATTCAGTCAGATCACTAATATAGTCTAAGTGCATTTAGACGATTACAAGCTCAAATTTTATTGTGAATGGATAATTATTGACTACAATTCTTTTGCAATGTATTTAAGGCAAGGAAAAACTGCCGAAAAAACACGTCTAAGAATCACGAAAGGAAGCACTTTTTGTTTCTTGTCTGGTAGATCAACACTTGGACAAATAAAATCTAGTAAAGCATTTTTTGAATGTAAATTGAAAGACAGGTGTCACATGATTTTCTGAGCTTCAGAAAATTACAGTTTACTAAGTGTTAACTTCTTTGTGATTATCCTTGCATATGCTAAATACATTGCAATTGAGTTCTGACAATGAGGTTCGAAACAAGGCAAAAATCGAAGGATTCTACAAGTAACAAAGAAACTTTGTAAAACTTCTCATTAGCTTTATAACTCATCATCCCAAATGACGAAAAATAGTTTTTATTCTTGTATGATTGAACCGTTGAAAAACAACATCGTTGATTTTAGATAAAGGTTTTGAAGAATCTGGGATGCAAATCGAAGTTTTAATTGCGCTCTTCCAATCCGACAAATGTGTATAAAGAGACTTTTTACACTAGTGTATATTTGATTACAGAATTTGTTTCTCTATTCTTAAGTAATAAAAATCATATTTGATGCAATGAAAATTTATGTTTTCGACCATTTTAGACTCCTAAGAACCTTAATCGAGAGTTAAGCAAACAATGTATGTTTCAGTGATCGCCGATCATTCATTCGTTTATCAAATTGATACTAGAATATCTTAAAAAATGTAAGAATGTGGTAAAAACAAAACAATTTTTAATCGTACAATGTGGCGACGTTGAAGGCAATGCATTTAAGCATCAGTTAACGAGGATAAACATTCGTTTTTTGATTAGTTCTATTTACTGTTGCCAGTGACGACTATTGCACAAAGCCGAAAGAGGTCGATAAATAAATTTTCTTCTGCACGTTTTATAATTACCTAGGACCTCCAAAAGCCATCTTTCGTATGTAGAAATATGAATTAGGAATAAAAGTTCAGTTCAATTTCCCAATGCTTGTTGAATTAGAAAAACGCTTGTGTGTTCTCAATACAGAAATAAGAATTGTTGACCATCTGATATGATATTTGTAGTATCAATCTTCGATGAGAATTAAGGGCCGTTTGATAAATATTTTTAAGTTTATTGACTTAAGTGAAGGGTTTAGTCAACGGTGTTTCTGTGGCTTTGCGTTCCACTAACATTAGTTTAGAACCAAATTTAAAATTTTTGATAAAATGTAGTGTGTAAAGAAAAACGCATATGTAGTTTCGGCAAGTCAGAACTAAGCATCCATACATTTTATTCATAAATCTCTATTATCGCCGTAAAGTTTTCAAATTTCACATTGATAGTAGAGATTTATGGATAAAATTTATGGATGCCTAGTTTTTGACGTTTCAGCATTCGTAGTCATGTATATAATCTAGAATCTGTATAAATATCTCATTGTTTTATATTTCTTTTTTCTATCTGATCAACTAATCTGCACTACTTATTTTTTAGGTAGTCAAAGTTTGTATCATCTAGCTCAAATTATTCAAACCTAATTCGTGCCATTTTTCGTTTACTAAGTTTCAGTATTTGATCATATCTGTCATCTTTTTTTCTCTAAAAGGTAAACTGAAGCCTTTTCTACTGACATGCGTGCTTATTTGTTTATTGGTTTTCTAACTTCGATGGGATCTCTTTTTTCTTATGCGTGTCAAAATTTCGATGACGTAGACTTTTCGTACCTGTGCGTTTTGGAACATATAGGGAGGAATATAAAATGAAGAACATATCTTACCTTTGGTTACAGCATACCGTAAGTTGATTTCTTTATAACCGACTTATTTTTTAGATGTGAAAAAACTTGTTTTGATTTCAAGTCTAGCAGCGATTCTCAAAAAATGATTTTAAATGATGGTAATATTAAATCGTTTCGTATGATAAAAGTATTTCGTGAAAATAGTGACAGAATTAATTCATTGGATTTCAATCGAAGTGGTGAATTGTTAATCTCAAGTTCAGATGATGAAACAATTGTTGTGTACGATTGTGATTCTGGTCTGTGAGTAAACTATTTTTATTCTAAATAAAGCATGAGCAAAAAAAATTGAATGTTGCCTACTTTTTTTCATTGCTACAGGCCGAAACGACCCATTCCAAGTAAAAAGTATGGTTGTGATATGATTCGATTTACGAGAAGTGGCGATCAAGCATTACATTGTTCGTTGAAAGTTGATGGTATGAACTGTTTTTATTATCAGACACTGAGATTTAAAAGCTTTTTTTTGACTGTTGTTTTAGACAGCATTCGATATTTATCATTATCCGATAGTAAATATATCCGTTATTATCAAGGACATACTAAGAAGTAATGCTTGTACAAAGACAATGTGTTTATTTATACTGAGATGTACGACATTATTTAGAGTGAGAAACCTTTGTGTATCACCAATTGATAAATCATTTATAACAGCCTCATGTGATCATACGGTTCGTGTTTGGGATTTAAGAAGTCAACTTTGCCAGGTAATATTTCAATGTTTCTAAAGACTAGTTACAATGTTTAGTTTACCATAGGGTTTGATATCGACACAAGGAAATCCCGTTGTTGATTTTGATCCAGATGGTATTGCATTTGGAATTGGAATTGATTCACAAATAATTGGACTATATGATATTCGTAATCATGAAAAGGTACAAAATAAGATATGTTTCCTTGCAGAAACAATTGTAGGTTTTGGCGTTTTTAGGGTCCATTTACAATGTTAAAATATGAATGTGAAGGTGATTTTGAATGGACACATTTGAAATTTAGCCCAAATGGAAAAATGATTTTAATTTCGACAAATACATCATTAGTTCTACTAATTGATGCCTATAGTGGAGTTTTACTTCACACATTTACGGTAAATAATTTTTCATATTTTGAACCCCAACGTCAATCCAACGTATTGAAAGAAAGATAAGATTAAATCTTTTATTCTTCGCGTACAAATAAAAGAATCTATTAAAACTTGTTTCAATAGCGGCACTGCTACACTTCCATTTGTTTTCTTTGTTTCTCTAGGGTCATCAAAATACGAAAAATTTGCCGCTTGAAGCATCGTTTAGTCCCGATTCGAAATATATTTTTTGCGGTATGTAGTCAACACAAATTTATTGCAAAAGTAGAAAACAACTGTAATGTTTGTGTTTTTTTGTCTTTAATAAGGTTCAACTGATGGTCGTATTCATGTGTGGAAAGCTGAAAATGGAGAAAAATTGACGATGTTTGCAGCTGAGAAAGGAGAAGATACAGTGCAATGTGTACAATTTAATCCAAAAGCGTTTATGTTAGCAACAGCATCTTCCAATATGGTTAGTATAAGTTTTTAATGATATTTCTTTTTGTACTTCTAACGTATATTTTCGTGCTACATGTACAGTTAAATCACTGGTTGTGTTGAACGTTGAATGAACTTGAAATAATTATGTGCTTTATTTTTATTATAGGTTTTTTGGCTTCCTCATGTTGATGATGAATAAAGTTATTATTGTATTATTACCTGTTTAGTCATGTAAATATTCTTTTTCTATTGGTGGCATAGTTGATATTGTTACTTTTTATTTATCATTTTTGTTTTTCTTCACTTGTTAGTGGTGGCTGAAGTATTCTCAATCTGACCACTAGTAAAATAGATCCATTGTTTGACATGATTATTTTTCTCTTATTTTGAATCTTATAATAAGTAGGATAGAAGACAATTGTAGCGTCTGAGCACGTGCATTAATAAAGTTGAGTTTTTGGATGTGCGTGTTAGCGCTGACTTAGCGTGTATCTAGTTACTTTTAGATGGATGGATACTTCAGCTATTGAATGAAATGGAATTGTTGATTTAAAATGTCATTTACAATTAAGTACTCACGTATAGAAACGTTATGAATATACATTTGATGGAAGTCATCAAGTGAATGATCATGTTAATGGAACAGTGTATATCATTCCTTATCGTTCAACATTGGCAAATAAAATATGTGATATACGTTGAACTAATCTAAGATTTAGAACGTGCTAGAAGAGCTAAAATAGTGAAGTAAACAACAGTTTATCATTGAAATTACACGTAGTATTAATAAGAAGTAGACAAATTTATCTAGGTATTTTAAATAGTATGTGTAAAACATTCAGTTTATTACAAATACATAATAATGCAATCAAAAGAGCAAAAGTGATGAGTACAAGACAATTTTCATGTTATAATTTTTAAAAAAGATATATTTAACGAAATAATTAATGATTCTTCATGAAAATCCAATTTGAAAATTCAACTTTAGTTATGTTATTGGCATTTTCGATTAAACATACACATCTTTGTTGTTGATAAAAGGCCATTGGTGTTATATTATGTGCAATATAAATTGAAACCTATACAATGAATATTCATAAATATGCTTATCTCTGTGATATCTGCTGGTGTTCATCGATAAAATGTATTTATTATATTTGGTGCTAAGTGTTGGCTAAAGTTCCGTTTATTATCATTTGACATAAATAAAGTTGAATGCTTTAATGAACAATTATCATCATCAATTACGAATAACATTCTGATAATGATTGTCCGTTAAAATAAATTTTGAATTTATTCAAGATGATTTGGTATTTTCAAGTCTGCGAAATTTATGATAAAAATTTCATACGGTTCTATCAGATCTTGTCATAAGAACTGACTTACTATTCTCTAATAGAGACACCACTTTTCTAAAAAAACGTTAGATTTCGTTTGATCCTGTGATATGAATTTTATATAGAAGACTCCTTATTCGTATAAACAGTATACAAAGAGTAGTGAGAATGAAAAACAAAATATTTTTATAATATTTACCTATATACGTATGAGTGAGCTAAACACTTCCGCTCATTGCAGTTAGATGATGGCAAATTAGAAATATTTCATATATTTTTTACCACTATTAGTGCCAAACATAATGAAATCAGGAAAATTGTCGATTAAGTTGCTACTTTATCTTAAAGTAGACTAACTTTTGTCAATATGTTATTTTCTTAAGAATAAGTTACTATTCGTTTTATCTAATCTGTGTGGATGTTAAGGATCTACTTTAATCCAGTATATTTAATATCAAGCTGTATATTCTAATGAGATTGATCCCACGCTCTTCTTGAAATCAGATGATATCGTCGTACTCAAGTCTCAGCATTGTAAAACTTCAACAAAATGATTAGTTAGATAATATTTCTTCACATTCTATTTTTTAACACTTATTTATCATTTCAGATTATTTTGTAATGTCGAGCGAACAGCAACAAGAAGTTTCGGCTGCACCATCAATGCCTGACGTTGGTACAACTCAAAATGTTGATAATTCCCGAACATCAGGTGTTTTTCTTGACGAAAAACAATCTTTACCAACTGATTTCGATGCAAAACCTCTTCAGCGTGCTGAATTACGTCAATCATTAGTAAATCCTGAATTAAAACCAATTCGTCGTATTATCGCTGAAGATATTGAATGGAGTTTACGTATTGTACCTACTCTGACTGATCTCTCACTAAATTCTATTGTGAAAAATTTTGATACTCATCCCAAACATGATGAATTATTAACGGAACATCGTCAACAATTATTAAAATCATTATCAACACAAGTACCACTCAAAGTCACGGCACCACTCATTCAAGATGAACAATATTGGAAACGTTGTTGTCTAGAAAAATGGCCTGTTTGTGATGTGAAATTGTACGATAATTCATGGAAACGTCTTTATTTTGAGAAAACAGTCGAAGATATTATTGAACATTTTGTGCCAAGTACAGGCGATCCCAAACGATTATATGAATATATTGAGTTAGGTAAAAATTATTCATTACTTTTTCTTGCCTCTATATAAAAAATATTTTATTTTTAAGGTGCTGAGTATATTATTCGTCTTGATATTAAACAATTATTACCGCCTGTCGAAATGCACGATAAAATAGCGCAATTAGATGAAGAACAAGGTGATGATGACGATAATGATGGACCCGATGGAACAGATGTAGAAGTTAGAAAACCATTGTGTGATCATTTTGATTTTACCGATCTTATAAAACGTTTACCAAATTTACAAGAATTACATTTAGGTAATTTATACATTTTATTCAAATAGTTTTTTGAAATTTTGTATTATTTATATTTTAGTCTATGGTGTCAAAGATTGTGGTATGAATTTTGATTGGAATATGTTTGAATTCACCAAAAAAGATTGTCAGTTATTATCGAAATCTGTTCTACATTGTAAAACGTTACGCGTATTGCATATACATCGTAGTAAAATTGATGATTATCGTATTCGTATGTTAATTAGAGATGGTCTTCTTGATCATCCAACATTAGAAGAATTAAATTTAGAACATAATCAAATTAGTGATCGTTAGTATACATCATACTTGATGATATTTTATTTTTAATTGCATATGAGATTTTAAAATGATTTATTTTAACCTTTTTACTTTTTCCATGGTGATCTGACTCTTTCTCTACTACACGAATCTTTGACATTTTACTTTTTCAATTTAGGTGGATGTCGTGCTATTGCCAAACTGCTGAATGGTCATTCAAAATTATTACGCTTGAATTTATGTAACAATAATATCGGACCGCAAGGTAAAAGTAATATTTCATTTTATAGACCTAGAGTACCTGTTTTTCTGTTCAGGTGCTCAAGCCATAGCATATGGTTTAACTAAATCAATAACAATTGAATATTTAAATTTACGTTTAAATCGTATTGGTGATGAAGGTGGCCAATCGATTTGTCTCGCATTATTAATGAATCAAACATTAAAAGAATTAAATTTATCGTGTAACAATCTTACTGAACCAACGGGAAATAAATTGGCAGAAATTTTAAATCGTAATAAAACATTGTTAACATTAGATTTATCAGCAAATCGTTTAGGACAAGATATTGGAAAGTCACTACAAGAATGTTTACAAGAAAATTCAACAATATTAAATTTAGATCTAAGAATGACCGAATGTGGACAAGAATCAGAATATATTATCAATCAAATATTAAAACAAAATAAAGAAAATGATCGACTACAAAGAATTGGAGAAAAAAATCAACAAGATACAAATGGAAGAACGTATTCACATATATTTTAGAAAAAAATCAAATTCTTTTAATTTCTATTCCTAACAAAATTTTTCATAAATGAAATATTCATTGTTGCTATATTTTGGAAGTTAAAGATCTTTGTATAAACTTAAGTTGTTTTTCGAACGAATCAATACTTATTTGATGGAAGTACTGTACAATCTTTCGAATTGTATAACAAAAAACTGGCATCTAAATTTTTATAACAAATGAAATTGAGAATAATTAATGAACAAGGATTTTTATTTTTATTTATTTTTGTATTTTACTTTTATTTTCCCAATGAAAAAGAGTCCGTCCATTTTTTTTTTAACTTTTAATTTTTCTTATTATCACGTTATTTTATTTTGCAAATAAAAAGCAAATTTGAACACGAAAGTTGTGCCATTGGTTCAACGTATTGGTACATTGGTAGAGAAGAGTGAGATTGTTCTGTCCACGTTTTGCTCTAGAGTTTTCCATTTCTCTAGGCTATAATTACGCGCAAAACATGCTATACAGAGGAGGGTTCTCGAGTTCCTGTGAAGAAATATACTTGAAGAAAGAATGTTTCGTCTAAAAATCTTCTGCATACAATAGAGATGATACCCCTGATTTGAAGGTTACTATCATGATGTACCCCTCTATGATTATTTGTAAATTATCGCCATTATTAGTATCATTCGTAGCTTGTTTAACTATTGCTAGTCCAGTTGATTGCTCGGCAACCGTATCTTGAATGAATGCACCATTCGGAAAGAGATAACCCTTTGTACTATGTCTTGTAACACTATATAGCAATAGTAATAGCATACAACTATTAGTCACCAACATTCTCACATAAACTGTGAGCGTTACTTAAACATTTCAAAAATATCAAACGTTACTTTCAACATAATAGAAGTGATTTTATGGGTGCGCGACAGAATATATTCTTCTAGTCATTTCTGTATTAGCTGTGTTTAACTCGTGTTACTGTGTACTCATGACTGTTTGTCAAATAAAACTAACTAACTAACTAACTAAGTGAATTGTAGAAAGATTGGTGATTGATTTAAAGGTATCCCCCTTATTTTACAAAACAATCGACTTTTGGATTAAACATGCTATGTAGTAAAGTCAAGTGCTCTCTACAATTTGAGACCATTTCCAGCTCTCCGCTAACTCTCCTTGACAAGATATAAAATTTCTAAAGTCTATCAGTCTACAATGGGAAAACTCTATTTTTAAGTTTCGAAAATTTTTATCTTCCATTCAGTACCTGTGATTTTTTTTCGAACAGTTAGCTTTATGCAGGAGACTTCTCTACAATATGAGACGCATCCCAGCTCTTCACGATGTTTCTCTCAAAAGTAATAAGCATTTTGCCAAGAGTCCTAAGAAAATGAACATGTGCGTTGCGATGTTCATGGTTGAAACCTCTACTCGTTCACATTGCTTATCGCAGCGACCCCATTGAAACTTTGTGCATTCGGGTTCAAACTTTTAACACATACACTAGACATCCATAGACCCATGTGTTTTTCGATCTAGCTGTTCAGCATCTTTTCTTCATAGAGAGTACGGCTGGTTTTTGGGAGCCTCAAAATTGAAATCCGGTTTTCTACAAAATTTCCTTATAGGTCATCGACGGTACACCTTGGAGATCTAAACCGAAAAATGCCTCGGCGTATTGGAGCCGAGTATCTGTGGTAAAATTTTGAGCTCGAATGGACAAAGTTTCGATGGAATTGGTACGGGACAAGAGTAAGCGTTTCTTGTTCTTCAGAGCAGTTCACAATAAATTATTCGAAGACCGTCCACGCTGTAATAAATTATGTATTGTTTGAAAGTACATAATTCAGGCTATATGATTTTGAGTACATCAACAAGTCGACTAAAAAAATGTGTCATTTCTGAGAGCGGAGGATCTTTTAGGCGAAAGTTTCATTGTTTTAAAAGGACTCATAGAAATTTTTTTCTCACTCGATCATTAGAAGAATCTTGCCAAATTGTTATTCTCCTCGCGAAATTTCTTTGCAGGATTTTCTAGATTTTTTCCAATAGAAAATACAAACATTCTAATATGTGGTTTCTTTGTAACTTTGAGATTGCTTTTTTGAAATAATCCAAAGATTTCTAAAACTTATCGTATACATTTAGTTGTCTATTAAAAAAATTCCTGCAAATCTTTATTTTTGAAATCTGTAAAATTCGACTAAAAGAAATTTGAGCTGCGTTTTAACCGATTTTCCTACAATGTACAAAAAAATACGTGTTTTTTGTTAAAGTGCAATGCCACTAGCCCAAACCCTTTTCCAGACAGATGCATCATAATCAGACAGCTGTGCTTTAAGCAGCCGTAATCTGAAGTTCTTTTCTCATGTAGATACGTGTCTATCGAAACAGTAGAAATGATGAAGCTTCTTCATTTAGTGTATCCACGTATCACCAAATTCTATTAGTCACAATAAAATACTTACATCTACAATAGCTCACTTCTACAATTCTCCTCTATTATTTTGAAAGTATGGTTTGCTACTTTTGAAAAGGTTAAGTAAACGCTTTATAACGTTCACAGTTTATGTGACAATGTTGGTGACTAATGGTTGTATGCTATTACTATTGCTATATGGTGTTACAAGGTATAATGCAAAGGGTTATCTCTCTCCGAATAGCGCATTCATTCAAGATAAGGTTGCCGAGAAATCAACTGAATTGACAATAGTTAAACGAGCTACGAACGATGATGGTGATAATAATGATAATGACGATAAAGGTGAGTTCAGATAACTCTAAATCTTGCTAATGAAGTTTATACGAAAATGATGTTACAGAATTATTTTTGGAGAATTTCATATAGTAGAAAACTTATGAATTTAAGGCCTTCTTCGTTTTTTATGCTTTACAATGATATCTACTAGTCTGAAAGAAGAGTAAATAGTTTATCGAGAGCAGCGTACTTGTATGCATGAATAAATCTAGTGTTGCTAATTTCTAAGATAGTTTTATAATGGTAGACCAAAAATTACAGAAGTGTCCAAAAATCTTACAAAAGTTTAAACGATTTATATACAACTGGTATATTTCATTAGTGGAAAAACTTTCTCTCATATTGTAGATCCCTTAATGTCTATATTTCAACATATAACACGAGCACTGTTTATAGATACCAAAAATATTTTTAGGAAAGCACATGATGCAGTAGCCCAAAGTTAACTCCCCTTTCAATTGCTCTAATTTTTTTGTCTTTAAAAAGGTTTCTGCAACGTTTCTGGAAACCCTAAACGGAAAAATGTCTACATAGACAAATACGTATCCAGTGCACATGGGACCATCGAGTTACCTGTAGTCGGAAGGCTGTAGACGGCTATAAATAAGTATTTTTGAAGTTTGACGTTTTCAAGAAAGTAATTTGTGGTTTTCTCAGAATCATTTTTTATCTTCAGTATTCCATATTTGAAGATAATTGCAACTAAATTAAGAAATACGGAGCTGGGATTTGTCCCAACTCAAAGACAAGACATCTTTTGACTTGGTTCTCCGAAAATAGTGTAGATATCAGTAAGATAAACTATGTATTAGTGAAAAATACAAAATATTCCTGATTTTACAATAGAACACTGCATAGATTTAACGCGACTTGAAAAAAAAATAGCGAAAATATATAATATTCTTTAATTGCTCATTTTCATGCTGTCATCTCCTCTCTCTTGTACGTGAGCTTTGTTTTGACAGTGAATAAACCATATCAATAATTATTTTAAGATTTGCTCTATTAATCAAATATTATTCTATTCAAAAACTGTATTTACGATATATAATAAATTGAAATAAATATTCAGTTGAATGGGTAGACTACAAGCATATATATATTTTCATAATGCGTTCTTCTAGTTGAACAAGATGATATGGAGAACGACGAAGATGAAGAGGACATAGACGATGGAGAAACAGATAAATGTAATCAGGACAATACAGTAAGCTTTAAATAATCATAATCTTCGTTCGACTCATTTTGTCCATAATTTGACTAAATCAATCTGTTGCTCATACGTAATTAATACTAAACACTGATATTGTAAATATGACGCCAGTAGAATTAAAAGTGATTCATATCTCGATGATAGACGAATCATCGGATAAAAGAGATTAGATGACTATTCTTTTGTTTTATAAATATTTAGTATTCTGTGCTTATTGGGGGTAAAAAATATCTGAAAGTCATTGTTAATGTGGATAAAGTATTGGGTCTTCATTATACAAAAGAGCAGTCAAATAAAAGGGCAATTACATTGATGCGTCGACA